AGGGCAGGAATGGGATCTGGAGTCACACCCCTGCCTGCTCTGGACCAACAGTTTGCATAGTTGAGGTATTCCTTTCTGTGGCTCTGGAGGCTCCACCTTTCCTTGACTCTAAGGAAGGACTGGTGGCACCCACAGGTGACTTGTATGGCTGAGGGTATGACAAGTGTACTCACTGAGTGTATCCACATGCCTAGGTGTGCTCTTGGAGTATAACTGAGGCTGGTCTGTGCACCCCTCCTGGCCCCTAAAGAATATGTTGGGTGAAGTCCATGGAGGCAGCTGGCCAGTGAGCTACACGCAGCTGCCCCCTTGCAGAATGAGCTTGTTTCGCGTGGGAGCTATGGAGTGTTGGCTATAGTGAGCAGGAATTCCTCCCTCACTTGCTAGGAGCCATAAATACATCCTTGTCTGTGGTTGGGGATATATATACACATACATACACATATACCTCAGGGTTTGGGCAATGCTGGGTTCTGGCTATGAGAGCTCAGCTTAAGAGGCAGTCTTCTCAAACACATACATGCACATGTGTGCAAGCAGACAGAGCGAGGAAGAAAGGGACAGAGAGAATGGCAGAGGGTTGGGACCAAAGGAAACTCAGAGATGGAGTTCAGGAAGAAAGCCAAAAACACAGTTAAGACTCAGGGGCTGAGAGGACGGAGCTAAAGTGAGGTGAGAAGGGCAGCTTTATGGGGAGCTTTTTGTCTCTCCCAAGAGACATTTATGAACATGTGGAAAGGAGGGACCCATGCTGGCTGCATCAGTTACATGCCATCTGACACCTGTTGTCTATAAGCTGTTACAGCAGGGATGGTCTGTGGTTTAGGAGTGACTAGAAAGCAGGTAAGAATTTACAGTCAAGGCCCTTCTGTGAACCCACTTGGGCCCATGCCCAGTCAATCCAAATTTCTCACCTCACCTGCCCCTTCATAGTCCTGCCCTCCACAAACCTTGCAGGGTACCAGGACCACTAGCAGGAGTGGTCTCTGCCTCAGAGATATACCTTGTATGAACAGCCTGGGTCCTCAGAGAAAGATGAGAGCTGTGCACTTGTGTGTCACCAGTGAATGGCCTGACAGATAACCACCCAACAGTACTGAGAATGAGCTCTGAGATTCTCTCTCTCTCTCTCTCTCTCTCTCTCTCTCTCTCTCTCTCTCTCTCTCTCTCTCTCTCTCTCCTAACCTAACCCAAGCTACCCGCCCTTCCAGGGCATCCATCAGACATGGGTAGGGCTTGGTTTTCAGGTATTTGCATTGGAAGGGTAGAGTGGGAGACACTTTAGAGCCTGGAGGAGAGTTTTGTTCGTCAACTCCAGGACTTGGAAGAGCATTGAATTGTCTTGGTTTGGGTCGAGGGAAGGTAGTAGTGAACCCTTTGTCCTGGTTCCTCCTCTTAGGGAAGTGGTTGGAGCCCCAGACTCTTTCTGTAATGTGGGTGCAGGGAGGAGCTTTTTCTTTTCCCAGCCTGGGCCAGACTGCCCTGACACTTGGACTGGAGCTATAGCCCTCACTTCCATGGCAGCCAGGCTGAAGACACTGAAGCAGAAACAGCCCCCAGGGGACATGGCACCAGCAAACTGGGGAAGCAGGGTGACAGTGTCCAGTGTGGACTGGGCAGGACAAGATGAGAGATGAATCAGCACCTGCCTGCCTTGTATGAGCCAGTGCCATCTCTGTCCCTCTGCTGTTGCACAGGCCACCAGCTGGCCCATTGTCCCCAGTGAGAAAGCAGACACTGAAGGGAGTTCTGTGCAGGCAGGAGCTCACTGTCTACCCACTGGCAGGGGCTCCTAGAGAAGAGTGGTGATGGGCTGGGGACAAGGAGGGAGGAAGGGAGGTGGTTCAGGCAAAAAGGCAGACAAGGCAAGGCCAGATTCCGGAAGACCACCCTCCACCTTCAGAGCAGAGGACTCGGCCCCCACTGCACGGCCTCAGGTTCCCTCCTGTGCTTTTGGCAGTGGGCAGTGTGCAAGGCCTGTGAACAGCAGATAAAGAGTTCAGGCTGAGTATTTTTTCTCACTAACCGTGGATTTGTGTGTTTGTTCAGCTGGTGGCTCTGATAAGCCCCATTCTGCCAGATAAAAGCCAAGCAGCTATGAGGCGGGGCCAGGGAGGGGTTGTTGTAAAGGGGCCTTCCTCCTCTCTGTCTGAATCCTGGGTTATAACCTCTCCCAGGAGTCCCAGGCAGAAGAGGGGTCAAGGTGCCTAGACACTGTGATGTGCTGCTGGTCCATCCCTAGGGGTGTCTAGAACTGGTACAGACCTTGTTTCAAGGCATCCCAGAGAGCCCACCACATGGGAAAGCTGTCCTCCGGCTCCCATCTCTGGATGTCAGGATGTCCCTTGGCTGACCTCAGAGCCTGACCACTGAGGACCCAGTGACCTGTCTGGTTCCCTGTCAACCTCCATCTTATGTCTGTCAGGATGTGTTCTGAGCTCTCAGGGTATTAACATCTCTTACTTCCGAGATACCCTTGGCCCTGTTGGGCAGGGGGTCCATTCTCGCTGAACTGTTAGGTCCTTGGACTTCACGACACGGTACTCAGAGCATCTGCTGCCTTTCAGCAAAGCCAGGGTACCAGCTTCATCCCCCCTGCCTTTTCATGGCACAGGCAAGGATCATAAAAGCTGAGGTTAGTACCCTGGCTGCAGCTGCCCTTGCTGTGGGGCTGACTCCTCTGCCTGTGAGCCTAGGTCCAGACTTCCAGTGTTTCTGCCTTTTGTCCTAGAGCTGAGCTGAGCTTGTTGGGGGCTGGTGGTGGCAGCATTGTGGAAATGCTGGCTAGGGCCGCCAGCCATAAGATGGCTGCCAGGGTCTAAAATGGCTGCCAGCAGCGCCCAGAGCCACGCCTGGTGGCGCGTGGCAGGCGGCCTGGCCCCCCCAGCCTCTCCTGCTTGCTCCTTTAATATGAACTAATAGTAATAACAGCAGCACCCTTTGGGGAAGTGTCCCGGTTTAAAAGGATTTCCTGTCTGTCACACTCTCCTGGAGCCCCATTTGTCTCTGCCTTAGTCACTGGCGCACCTCCATCTCTTTGTCACGTTCTCTTCTCATTCTGTCCCTTGGCTGGGTGTGTGCACACCCACTCACACATGAATGGACATGCAGCTCTCCCTCTCTACTTGGCCTTTTGCAGTAGGCCAGTTGCATTCCTATGGGGTAGATTCTGAGCCCCCTCAAATTGACCCAGGTCTGGAGGCCTTTGGGGATGTGTTGACCCCAGGATGGGTGGAATTCATCGAAGTCTACAGAGCAGCATGGCATGTGCCACGCATTCTTCGATGGACTCTGCATGCCAGTTCGAGGCTATGCCCTTCTTCAGCCCCATTTAGATATAGAGGTGGCTTCACAGTGGGGTTTCAAGAAGGCCCTAGCATAGGTCACCTAGACCCCCTCCTTGGCTTCTGCTTGGGCTGGCATGAACTTGAATCAAACCCAGGGATCCAGAGAGGGAGAAGAACATTCATACTGTACTGTGTGATACCAGGGTACAATGAGGCCTCAAGATACAGTCCATGATTGGAGGAGGAGGCTGTAGGCTCCCTCCATAGCAGAGAATGCCAAGCAAAGAGGTGACCCTGCGTGGCATGGAGAAGGGCACACCTTAGACTGGAGAGGGAGCTGCTGAGCACTTTCCTCATAACCTCTGTTCTCTTAATTCATAACAATTAAAAAAAATTGAATGACTGGGGCTGTAACTCAGTGGCAGAGCTCTGGCTCTAAGTTCAATTCCTAGTACTGGAGACAGACAGAGACAGAGAGAGAGAGAGAGAGAGAGAGAGAGAGAGAGAGAGAGAGAGAGAGAGAGAGCACAGATTGAACAAGATGAAAGAAAAGGATAGCAGGCCCCAAAATGTGACATACCATGAACTAGCCCAGGAGCTTGGCCAGTGCTCCCAGACACAGATGTACAGAGCCTTGACTCTTAGTAAAATCCTCCTGGGAGACAAGCAGGACACGCATGGAGCTGTGGGTGAATTTGGGGTGACTGGGCCACTATGAGGAACCCAACAAAGCCTTGGCCAGAACCAGGACACAGTGTCAGATGCCACCTCTGTGGTCCTTATGAATAGCTGAGTCTTCACCAAGTGCCCTACAACCTACCCCAGCACCCCCACCCTCTCATCAGCTGTCATGCCCAGGCAGGCATTCTGAAGGTCCCCATCTTGCCCCTGGCACACACAAAGCTTTGGAGGACCTGGGGGACGGAGAGTGGGGGGCTTTCTCAAGCTCTGCAAAATATTCGCACACACACTCCTCCCTGCCCCCAGCCCTCTGTGAGCTTCCACCACACAATAGGCCCTTGTCTCAGGGCTCCCTCTGAGCAGCTGTGGCAATGGGGCATGAGACAACCCAGACAGGCTGGCACAGAATGGGTGGCAGCAGGGCACACCTCCCCCTCCGGGTTGCCAGGCATTGCTTGTAAGCATAAAGGTGAGATGGAGGGGGCATGAGCCCACAGAACAGCATTAATTAATGGACTTAGGGAGGGGAATACCCCTCTGGGAGAAGGAGAGCCCTGGGGGTCTGCCTTGTTATTGGCAATGCCCAACACTGACTTCTTCCCTTGGTGCCCCCCTGATTTCTGACTCTTGATCAGAGCTACCTAACCTGTCCCTCAGGGCGCACTGAACAGTTTCTAGAGGAAGTTTGCGTTGTCACAACTAAGGTGCTATTGGTATCTAGTGGGTAGAGACCAAAGATGCCACCACACCCTGCCCAGGATGCCCTCCCCCTGCCTCAGTGACCAATCCAGTCTAAATGTTGGGAGTAAAGTATGCACTATCTTCCCTCTGCCTGTTAGGAAAACAGGGCTAGCCCTGGAGTCTAGGCAAAGGGGTCTATTGCCTGGTATAGGTCCCCAAGGCTAGCCCTGGAGCCTGGGTGAAGGGGTCTGTTGCCTGGGATGGGTGCCCAAGGCTGGAGGGTCAGGTGCTTGGCTAATGGTTTTATGAAACTTTGCTCCTGATTCTTTTTCCCTTTTGTTTCTCCTGCAGAATCCGGACAATCAGATAGTTCAAACCAGCAAGGAGATGCGGACATCAAACCACTGCCCAATGGTCAGTGCCCCACCCTCTCCCCTTCACTCAGCTGTCCAGTGACCTGGGCTGTCATCCAAGGAGGGAGGTTCCCCTGGTGTATGCTCCTTTTTGTGGGAAGAACTTTGGAGGAGTGGGTAGGCACCCCACCCTGATCTGGCTTCACTCACCAACCATTTTCTTTCTTTAGGGCACTTAAGTTTCCAGGACTGCTTTGTGACTTCCGGGGTCTGGAATGTGACAGAGCTGGTGAGAGTATCACAGAGTAAGTTGTACCCTGTCAGGGCCAGGGACCAGGACTAGGATGCAGAGGTGGTTTTCAGATTTCACAGGATTATACTGATGACATTTTAGGGACTCTCTGCCCATTTGGCCTTGAGCTGGGTGGAACAGTTGTCCAGAGGATACTGTCCCTAACCTCTGCTATGGGGCGGGGAACTCACAACCAAAAACTCTCCCGTTACCACCCACCCAGGAAAGGGGTCTTCCCAGCAGCTTAGACATCACAGTGAGCTCTTCCTGGGCTTCTAGGAAGTGGTTTATGGCAGCATAGTTGGCCTGTGGGGATTACAACAGCATATCCCAACCTCACCACCCTCTCTGTCTTCCCAGCTCCTGTTGCCACTGCATCAGGGCCCAACTTTTCGCTGGCAGACCTGGAAAGCCCCAGTTACTACAACATCAACCAAGTGACCCTGGGACGGCGGTCCATCACCTCCCCTCCTTCCACCAGGTAAGCCGGGACAGTGGCCTCCTCACCTTCCTAACCACCTCCCTATGGCTTCAGCTGCTCTGCTTCCTGGGCTAAGGTATTCCAGGGTGTCATCATGCTCAGCCACCCATTGAGCTTCCTGCTTTATGCTGTCATGAAGCACAACAAGGCATGGCTATGCCTGGAAGTGAGGCTAAGAGAAGGCCTATTATCTTGTGGAGTTGGCATTTGAGCCCAGACAAAGCTAGTGGGGGGAATCCACCTGGAGACTCCAGGCAACCTTCCTCTCAGTCAGACTTGAACAAGTTGTCAGGACTAGAAGACTTTTGGACTCTTTCAGGGGATTGGGGACCACTGGAGGACATGATGGAATATGCATTCCAGAAAGCTCCCTCCAGCCACAGCATGTGTAGCAGGGCTGACAGCAGCGAGGCCACTGCACCAGGATGGAACAAAGGAAGGCCTGCACAGGGAGGGCAGTTTGCAGAAAGAGAGAAATGCCTGGGAGAGAAATCCCAAGGTCTGAATCTGAATCAGACTTCTTCTGGGAAGGTTGAGTCTTTGCTTTTTTTTTCCTAGACAGGGTTTCTCTGTGTAGTCCCAGCTTTTCGTAACTCGCTCCATAGACCAGGCTGGCCAGGGACTCACAGAGATCTGCCTGCCTCTGCCTCCTGAGAGCTGGGATCAAAGGCTTGCATCACCACTGCCCAACTGAGTCCTTGCTTTTTAACTGGAACATTTTGTTCACCATATAGCTTTTCCTTTGGAATTTAAGTTGTTTGTTTTTGTTTTTGTTTTTTTAAAGTCAGGGTAGCCCTGGCTGTCCTGAAACTCATTCTGTAGACCAGGCTAGCCTGCTTGCCTCTGCCTTTTGAGTGCTAGAACTAAAGGTGTACACTATCATGCCTGGTATGGGTATGGGTATATGGCCAGAGGCTTTGGAGCTAGTATGACAGTTCCCTGACATGAGTGGTGGGAATCAAACTCAGGTTCTCGGTAAGAGCAGTGCATGCTATTAGCCACCAAGTGTCTCTCAAGCCTCTGGTGTTTGTTTTTAATATTGCATTAGAATATTTTTGTTATTTATTTATTTATTTATTTATTTTTGAGACAAGTCCAACTAGCTGGTCTGGAATTCACTGCAATCCTCCTGTGTCAGCCTTCTGGGTACTAGGGTTACAGATGTGAGCCACCACTGTTAGTTTACAGTACTTTTTAACGAATAAGTTTCATGACACAACTGAGCTGATAGGAAATAGTGACTGAGCCACAGAAGGCAGATAAAGGTTTTGCCTGTTCTTTGATGGGTACTCAGTGATCTAGTAACCTGAGGGAGAGCAGGTCTGAAGATGTTCTGCTACAGGAACTGGAGTGCTTCTGTGGGCTGGTGCTCACCAGTGTACAGTACCTGGGCCTCAGTACCTGGTGCTGCTTAGACCTTTGGCCCACTGGCCTCCTCCCGTCTTCCTCAGCACCACCAAGCGCCCCAAGTCCATCGATGACAGCGAGATGGAGAGCCCCGTTGATGACGTGTTCTATCCTGGGACAGGCCGCTCTCCAGCAGCTGGCAGCAGCCAGTCTAGCGGATGGCCCAACGACGTGGATGCAGGTATGGAGGCGGCCGTCACAGCGTTGCAGCCTGTGTGTCCCTGCAGTCTTTTTTGTCAGGTGGCTCTTACAGACTCTTGGTCCTAAGGGGACAGACGATACTGAAGCAGGGGAGTGAGGTAAAGAGCTGAGCCTTCCAAGTTGGTAGCTAGTTTGTGGCCATGGTGGGTAGAGCAGATGGCTACCAAGCCTATAGTGCCATTTTATTAAAGGCATGGCCTCTTTTTCATAGATCCCTTGCCTCTTGAGACCTGCCCAGCCTCGTGGTTCCCTGGATTAAACCACTTTTCCACCTGGGCCCAGGGTTGTATTTGAGGCCTCTTGGCTTTCTGAGGCAGGCGCTGCCCTGGTATTAGAAGGCATTCAGCAGCATTCCTGGCTCCACCACTAGATGCCAGTAGCAAACATCTACCCCTTTAGTCAGTTGTTTTGAGACAGAGCCTAGCTATGTAATAACCAGGCTGGCTTCAAACTCCAGCCGCCTTTATTCCACCTCCTGAGTGTTGGGATTGCAGGCTGCATCATCACTTTCGGCCACCCTATTTAGACGACTATAAATGTCCCCAGACATTGCCAGATGCTCTCAGGAAGACAGATTTGAGGTGGCTAACCCTGGCCTTGGAGCCCAGCTTTACAAAGAGGCTCAGAACTCAGGGTGGAAGGGCAGAATTGTCTTGAGAAGCTAGCAATGAGCAGAGAGTCTGAAGAGCCCAGAGGAAGCAGCCCAGACCTTCCCAGTCCTCGCTGAGATGGTTTCCGGTTGAGCCAGCCCTGGGCTGCTCCAGTGCATGCTGATGGTGTGGGCAGCCTGAAAGTCCAGAGGGAAGACTGCACATAAGAAGCTATGGGTGTCCTTGAGGCCCTAGGACTCACAAAGGCAGGCCAGGCCTACTTTGTACAGTGTGCTTAGAACTTGCCTGCTCTAGATTGAGCGAGGGACACTCTAGATGGGGCTGGAGACTGGGCTTCATTGTTTAAACCAGGGTCTGATCTGATGGCAATTTTTCAGGTAGAGACCCAGCTGAGGGAGCCAGTACAGACCCTGGTTTTGACTCTGGTTCCTGTGCAAAGACAGCAAAGCTTACCTCGTGGGCTTGGGCAGAGAGAATGGACTTGGCACTCTCTAGAGCACCAGAGGAGACCGTGCTTTGTGGAAAGGCACCCCAGCATGACTTGGAGGTGCTGCTCAGGGCTTCCCTGTGGCAGACAGGGCCTGGGCCTGTGTAACCTACACATACCCTTAAGGGAATTTCTGGAGATGGATAGAGAGGGAGTTGGAAGGTTGGATATCACTATATCCTGGATCCCAGCTGATCCTGGCCTTGGGCAAGTGACATCTTCTGCAAAGACTGCTGCTGGGGTACCTTGATGACCTGTTGAAGCCAGTGACTGTCCATGTTCCCAAGAACCTACTCGCCAGGCTTCTGCAGTCCTCCCTCCCTGTCTGCTCTACTGCCTGCCATTTCTGTTGCTCTGGCAGCCCTGCCATGCACTGCGCCCCCAGGATCCCTTACCCCCCAACTTGTCGTTGTTTCCCTGGGCTGCGACAAATCGCCAATTAAGCAGCCCAGCTGCAGGATAGGAACAGCTGGGTAGGCACTGTGCAGCAGCAGGGACAGCTGTGCACAGCTGGTGAGGCACTCCCCCCTCCTCACCGTACCAGCTATCAGGTGGCACACAGCTGCCATCAGATAACACCTCTGCTGGTCGCTGGGAGCCCCCACCCCCACCCTGCCACGTCTCTCTGTGGTTGAAACTCTGGTTTTCTGTTCTGCAACTCTCCATTCCCATCAAAACCAGTAAGATTCATCCCCCAAAGATGGCAGCTCAGCGTCTGCCTCATCCCCACCTTGCCTAGTTAGCCCAAGATAAGAGACACCAAAAGAATGTGCCCCTGGGAGCCCTGCTTACCAGCCTGTTACTTGGATGCTGTGCACACTGGACAGGGATGACATTGGCTTGCAATCCCAGACTCTTAGAGGCAAAGCCCACACAGGATGTTTTTGTGCCCCTGTCTCTGGCTGGATGCCACCCTTGCCTTTGGGCACCAGGGCAGAGAAGAACCCCTCTCTCTAAGCCCTGTGGCCTGGGCAGTCCTTGCCCTCTGGCTCATCCTCAGTGTCCTCCCAGCTCTCTGGCTCCTATCTTTGTTCTCTTGTTGGATGTTGTACCCTCTGGAGGCTCTTAGCTATGCTTTCCCTTTTCCTTCTCTCCAGAGAGGCAGAGCTGACTTCCTCAGACTAGAGTGTCCTAGGTCATCTTGCCCCAGGTCCCAGCCTGTGCCTCCCACCCATGTCCCTCTGGCCCCTTTCATTGTCTACAGGTCCTGGCTTGCCACCTGACTCCTGTGGGCTCCTCATGCATCCCTTCCTAGATGCTAGCCCTGCATCCCATTTTATCCCTTTATCAGTCAATGGTCAGGGAGCAGTATGCCTTCCCTGCCCCCCTTGCCCCGCATACTCTCTCCATGTTACCAGGGGCCTCATTTTACTCTTTCAGAAGCAACCATAGCCAGATTGCACCCCTGAGGTCAGGCCATAGAAGGAGCAGAGCAGGGCTGGAGGTGGAGGAAGGGCTGCTGGGCGCTGGGGAGAGAAGGAGCGAGGAGCGGGCTGCTTTGCTGGCTTCCCACCCCAGCCAGCTAAACCTGCGTGTCGCTGCTTCCTCCCCCCAGGCCCTGCTTCTCTAAAGAAGTCAGGAAAGCTGGACTTCTGCAGTGCCCTCTCCTCTCAGGGCAGTTCCCCACGCATGGCTTTTACCCATCACCCGCTGCCTGTGCTTGCTGGAGTCAGACCAGGTGAGAGATGGAGGCGGAGGCGGGCTTAAAGGGACACTGCGGGAGGCAGCCACCACCAGGGGCAGCTGGCCAGGTACAACAGGGGCCAGGGCTCACTCTAAGTGACAGATCTGGGCTCCTTGAGTGGGGTCATGGCACAGCAGTGGGGTGGCTTGGGACGGGCAATGTACCCCTGGGAACCAGGCTTGCCCAGTCCGTTCCTAGATTCCCTCGCACACGCTAACTCTGGCTGTGTAAGTCTATGTTGGGTGCATGTTTTGCACATGCTCACTGGGAGCTGCATGCAGCCTCCACCTCCCCCACCAGCAAGTATTGAGCCAAATTGCTCTCCTGTGGAATGCTCAGCAGTTCCTGGTGTCTGTCCTAGGGCAAACTGTCACCTAGTCTGGGCTTCTCTGCCTTTCCCAGAAGCAAAGGGGTGTGTTCAAAGAACAAGTGGCCTGCTGTGGAAAGGACTGTCCTGCTTCTTTGAGGGTACATCTCTTCAGGCCCCGAGAAGATGACGGATCTTCCCGAGGGTGGGGCCAGACGAGAACACATGGGACCCGGCCCCCTCTTGCTTGCTACTTTCCCCCCTCGGCACCCATCTGGCAGTAAAGGCCTGGCTTTTGTTTGCACACGGCCCATGTCTGCCATTCCTCTCTTCTCTTCTGTAGGGCACAACAGGGAGGTTTACCTCCCAGCTTCCTCCTTGGGGCCTCCTGGCTTAGAGCCCAGAGGCAGCCAGTACAGGGGCAGGGTGTGGTGGCCATGAGGTGGGGGTGGGGAGCCCAGGCCTTGTGCCGGCAGCAGGAGGGAGGCAGGCTCCACTGGGCTGTACTCCATTTTTATGAACTTCAGTGAGAAGCCAAGTTTCCTCAGCCCCCTAGTGAAACAGAGAGCAAGAGTGAGCTGATTGGAACCAGACGGGAGGGAGAGACCATGGGGAAGAGGCCTGAGCAGGGGTGGGAACTGTGAGCACACAACCCATGAAGGAGGCCTGTGGATCCTACTTCACTCGTGGAGTCGTGTGTGTGGCAGGTGCCCGCCCTGCACAGGCAGGACCTGTCCATGCAGGGGCCCTGGAGCCATGGCATGCTGGTGTCTGCCCTTCAGGCAGGCTCACATCTAGGGCAGGGCAAATGAGGTGTTTACAAAGGGTGCAAAAAGGAAAATGTCAAAAACTCAATCCTCAAGATAAGTTATCTATTAATATATTATTTCTTTTTTTAAAAGATTTTATTTATTTATTATGTATACAACATTCTGCTTCCCTGTATATCTGCACACCAGAAGAGGGCACCAGATCTCATAATAGATGGCTGTGAGCCACCATGTGGTTGCTGGGAATTGAACTCAGGACCTCTGGTAGAGCAGTCAGGGCTCTTAACCTCTGAGCCATCTCTCCAGCCCTTAATGTATTGTTCCTAAAAAATGAAAACAGTTTCAAAACAGGATGAGGCCAACACTTGAAATCCCAGCATACAGGAGGCTGGGACAGGATCAAGAATTTGAGTCTATGTGACTCTGTCTCAAAAAACAAATAAGAGCAAAAGCTTATGACAAGCAAATATGGCAGGAAGCTTGACTAATGTAGACCCCTGAGTTCAATCATCAGTACTGAAAGAAACAAAAGAAAATCTACCAACCAAAACAAACAACAGTAAAAAGCAGCCAGACACACGCCTGCAGTCCACGCATCAGGGAAGAGACAAGAGGATCGGGAGCTCAAGTCCAGCCTGGGCGACAAGAAATCCCACCGCAGCAAACAAACCAACCAGAAAAACAACTTGCTGGCAATTTTAAACAGATAACACCCAACCCTGCACTTGTAGCTGTCCACCTGCCTCAACTACTCCCTCCCCGCAGCTCCAGTCAAACATTATTTATAGAAGCAAGGCAGCTGGCCCTCAGGTAGTAGTCTGCCAGTTTAGTTTTTATTGCATTTGAATGTTTTTTTTTATTTTTTAATTTAGATGACTGAGGGTTTTTGTGCCCTGACACAGAGCTTCAGCCCCACTATGCCTCTTCCTGGGGATCCTCAGCCTGGCCACTGCCACATCTTTCTTCCCCATGTGACTGTCTTTACAGCCTTTTCTCTCTCCTGCTTCTGTGCACACAGGGAGCCCCCGGGCCACAGCATCAGCCCTGCACTTCCCCTCCACGTCCATCATCCAGCAGTCGAGCCCGTATTTTACACATCCAACCATCCGCTACCACCACCACCATGGGCAGGACTCGCTGAAGGAGTTTGTGCAGTTTGTGTGCTCTGACGGCTCGGGTCAGGCCACTGGACAGGTGAGTCCAGAGGGCACAGGAGGCCTCATAGCCTCATATATTTGTCTGTCTGCCTGTCTGTCTGTCTGTCTGTCTGATTGTCTTTCTGTCTGTTTAAGGGCTCACGAGGAGAGGGCCAAAAATCAGGAGCATACATGGAGTTGGAGTAGCAGAGCCCATAGACTCTATCTTGTGAACAATTTTAGTGGGCTTGGGGCCAGGGTCTGCATATTGTCCTAGGGTCTGTCTGTTAGGGACTGGAGAGGTAGGGCAGCTGCCCAACCCTCCCTTCAGGGGCTGCTTCCCTTCCTGTTGACTCTTCGTTCCCAGTAGAAATGAACATATGATTTGTGCAATCTAGGCCTTGGACCTCTACCTCTCTAAAATCTAGGAGGTCAAGGATTTGACAGATTGTGGACCTGAGTCTGTCTGGCTCATTACTTTGGACTGCTGATTCTTGGTGGTGTGAGGCTGTCCTGGACTCGGTGGGAGGCAACCCTGGCCCCCATCTAACAGATACCTTCTCCTTCTCAGTCATGGGTGTCAAATCTATCTCCAGCTTTCCAGGGTCCCCACGTGATGCCTGTGTGAAGATTCCTATACCAGGACTCTTACCATAACCCACACTGTTATGGTTCTAGAACAAAGCCCTTCAGATCCACAGCCCCTGTGGAACACAGGGGTTCCCTGTGGGTTCTTTTCCACCAGCCAGCCCTGGGGCCTGGTCCAAACTCAGGGTGCTCTGCAAAGGGATTATCCAGGAAGATAACCTGCCAGAGATGCTGGCAGAACATGCTCAGGCTCTAGGGGTCACTTGAGAAGGGATATGGTGGTCCAGACCTCTGAAGAGTTTTGTAGCCCAGCACCGTGAAGACTCCCCCATTCCTGGGCCAGTGCAGGTAGCCTGGCTGTTAGAAGTCATCAGGAGGATGCTCAAAGGGCTTAGAAAGCAGGTTGGGAGAGGTGTTCTGGAAGTTCACACCAGAGACAGTCCAAGGGGAGCAGCAGGGATCCCCTGTTGTTCAGCCACACTGCCTTGATGTGCTCGAGGAAGAATGAGTGGTTCTGGCATATGGCTGGGCTGGGTTCTCTGTCCACCCTGGATCTGGTCCTGTTTCCTCTGCTTGCTCACCCATCCCCGCCCTTCCACTGTCCTCATCCTCTTCCCTACTTTATCCCACAAGGGTTTTCTCTTGCCGACTCTCTAGCTCCTTAGCACTTGGTGGCCTTCCTGCCTCTCTATAAACACTGTCTGTCTTAGGAGGGTGGGAGGGTAGAACCCTTATTACCACTTCAGAGATAGAGCAAACTCCAGAGAGATGCTAACTTGCCTTTTCACCTCAGAGACAGCCAGGCTTGGAGTCTAGATGAACAGGACCTAGGAACCAATGCAAAGAGTCATCTCTCCCTGCAGGACCCTGAAGAAAGAATCAGTTGACCCCTGCCTCCTGAGGGCTGGGTTCTGAGCCTCACCTGTGACCTAATATGTGTAACATGGACTGTCCTAGAGTTATTTTCTCAAGACAGGTACTTATTCCATGAGATGCAGACAGAGGTGTAAACAGACACCTTACTGAGTGTAGCTAACAATGGGGAGTAGGGAATCCTCTTAGGACTTCCTCTGTGACCTGTAACTGAGAGAAAAGCCTGCTGCAGGAGCTCTTGTGGGTCTGAGGGGAGATGCACTCATGTTGGTGAAGAGGGTGGTTTATCGATGCTATGTTCTACCCCACCACCACCACCCTGCCCCTGCTGCCATAGAACAGCAGTCCTCAGAATTAGTATATGCAGAGTCACCAGAAGCTTTGGCCTGCAGGTTGTTCCAGCAAAGGTAGAGCCTAAGAACCCAAGTGTCTACCCAGATCTTGCTCCTGGACTGCTGGCTACACTTTAGGAACCACTGGCCTGGAGCCTAACAGAGCACCTCCTAAGCACCTCACAAATCCCAGGTTACAGACCAGCTTTTCAGGAAAACAGCCATGTAGGGAAAATTGCAGACCATTACAGAGGACTTCCCAGCACCCTAATATTTTATCCTTCCATCCCAGCCTAGGGCACTTCTTTGGAAGGTCACAGGGAGACAGCACTTAAGGTAATACAAAGGACAGGAGGAAGGGTCCTGGCTAGCAGTGTTTCAGGGGTAGAGAAGCCAAATGAATATGGTGAAGCTGCAGGCCCAGTGGGAATAATGACTCAGGGAGGCAGGAATGCCACCGTGGGTAAGAGGCAAGTGATGTGCTGGGCCAGCTTGTAGACTCCTTCCAGTCCCTGCCTCAGCTCCTAAGGTAATGCAGAGCCACAGACTTTGATATTTTAATAACTTGACTTGTATCCTAGCCAAATCTCAGATGCCCCAGGCCTGATGAAAGTTGTGACTAGCCCCATCAGGTGGGATTGTCCTTTTAGACACTCTTGCAGGAGGCAGGCCCTGGAGGAGGCAGAGGCTTCCATGCTGTGTCCTAGCTGCTCTGAGCTCAGAGAGAAGCCACGAGGCTGTGATCTGTGGGACTGCTCCATTTCCTGTCTGAGGGAAAATGGGATGGGAGCCAGACAGGCCATAGACATGAGGGGAGAGGCTACTGCTTGGCTCTCAGTGGCACCCCTGCAGAGCTGCAAAACTTGCTCTTTGGTCCTAATGCTGCCTAGAACCAAGGAGTCTCTCTAAAAGGGTACCTACCACAAAAGACTCCAGTCTGGGTCACAAATAAGAATGCTGGGCAGTTGTTTGGCCAGATGCTTCTCAACTATCATCCTAAGCGTGTGCAGGAATGGTAGAAGCAACCTTGTAGGGGCATAGTGTGTCAGATCTGGCAGGTCATTAGGGGTAAAGGCTGCTGGGTGGAAGAAGCAGAGCTCTGGGTAAGATGTGACTGGAGAGGAGCTGGGCATGGCAGTACATGCCTGTAGTCCCAGCATTTGGGAGGTGGAGGCAGGAGGATCCCATGTTCAGTCATCATTGAGATTAAAGTACTTGCCACACAAGTTTGATGACCTCGGTTGATTCCTGGAGCCCACATGAAGATGGGGGGGGGGGAGAGACAGAGTGCAACCAAAAGGACAGTGCAGCCCCCTTGGGCTGTAGGACTTGAGTGCTGTTGTGAGTCTGCTGGCGTGCTGGAGCCCTGCCACAGCTGTTTCCATGACTGAGGGAGGGCCAGGGTGTCTAAGAAGTACAGGTTAATGAGAGACTAATACAATTCAAAGAATCTAGCTGGTCCTCCTGTGGGTGTGTAGAGCAGGCCTCAAGGGGTGCAGGGAGGAGCTCCAGGTAGAGTACTCTGCTGAGCAAGTGTGCACTCTGACCGTGCCCTCAGCCTGAGTTCTGAACATCCAAGGGGTGAAGAATGGGAAATACCAAGCAGAAAAGATAGGGTGTGGGGGATGGGGACTTGAGTGCTCCTTGGGGAGAGTGCATCTAAAACAGTGGAACATTTTCGAGAAATCTGAGCTAACTTGCACTTGGGGAAGAGGGCCCATGAGCCTGCCCAAGGCTCTTGGGTCAGACAGGTAGGGCTCTGCCTCCAGGCATGGCCAGTGTAGCAGGTAACTTTGCATGAACCACTCACTTCCTTGCACAGAATCTCACTGGATTCAGGTATTGAATGGGTAGAATAAAGCTTCCTTTGCACCAAAGTTTCCCAGAGACAGTACTGTTAGCTCTGAGCGGAGGGCAAGCTTTCATCCTGTGGGCTATTGGATATGGATTTGTAGCTACCCACTTAATGCCAGTAGCATCTTTGAGACCTCAAAAATGGCTCTAGATGTTGCAGTGTTTTCTAGGATGGGGAGGCAGAATGGCCCTGAGGTGAGAACTGTTCCCTTGTGAGTAGCTGGAAGGTCAGACCCAGCATGGATACAGTGTCTGGGCTATGGCTGGACAACCAGAGCACCGAGCTGAACCACTCGTTTTCAGAGCAGAGAGGTGGACACCCCCCACCCCCCACCCCCGCAGGCTCATTGTCGTCAACCAGTGAGATGAGTGAGGACAGAATGGTAACTGGCTGGAGACATCAGATGGGCTAGGTTTCTGGGCTTTGTCTCCCATAGAAGGAGGAGCACTGGCCAGGTGTAGTGGAGCTTATAATTCAAGCACTCAGGATGTCAAGGCAGGAGGATTGCCAGTTTGGGGGCAGCCTGAGAGAAAAAAGACCTCCCTAGGACTTGGGCCTGAGTGGCCAGAAGGGCTGAAGTTTGCTCCATAGGAAAAGAAGAGCTGGGGCCAGGCCTCCTTGCACCTGAGCTGCAGCAGGAAGCATGCTCCAGGTCTCTCCAGGGATACTGCGCCTGCCAGTGGCTGGGGGGGCTGTGGTG